TGTTTGTAAATTTGTGAAACTTTTGTTTATAAGTCATTGTTTGTAATAACTATTTGTAATTAACTGTTATTGTGAATTATATTTTTGTGTGTATGCTAAAATGTATTTGTGTTAAAAACAAAAATTGTGTGTATTAATTTTGTTGGCAAATATCATAAACTGACTATATATCAGCATATATTTAAATACTAAATCCAAAAAACAATTTAACTACTAAATTTAAATTTATCAGTTAACTCGATTTCAGACTATTTGAAATTCTAAAATGTAACATTGCAGACAGCCTATTTTGTAGTTTTGAACAAAAGAAACAACTATCACAAAACAAGAAAAGAAATTTGTTTTGTAACACAAACTCCTTTTTATAAAGATATTTACTTATGAACCTCCAAACACCTTATTTCTTCTACAAAATGTTGTATATCAACGATTCTTCATTCATAAAGTAAATGCAGTCCATTGTCGTTGGCTGGATTAGCCTTTTCACTTTCCACGATGAAAGGTAGCTCCATGACATTGCTTGAACTCGTGGATTCTGAATTCAGCTCATTACTACAAATAAAAAAAGAAATGTGGCATTTAGAAAGAAAAATTGATTCAAAACGAAGCTTTGAGTAATTTTTTAAATTTTTTGTGTTGCATGAATAACAATTACCGTATAAAACTAAATTGTTTGTTAATTTACCGTGATGGCTGTATGTAATCTTCATTTAGATTACTTTTATTCTCAGCTTTCTTGGCTGCTTTCCATTTTTCTTTCATATAAATGCCACCATTGCTCTCTTTAGCTTTACTTGGCCAAATTCATATTTACTTTTTTGTTTGTACCATTGCTATTGACTATATATGTACTTGAGATAAACTAAACTAGGAAAAGGTGTTCACTATCTTGTTCATTGTCCAGTTATATGACCCCACATTGCACTGTGAAAGCAAAAGGTCAGGGGTGACACAATGAGGCCCTGTCTTCTGGGGAGTAGTAGTTTATTTCCCAAGTACACTAGAAGATTCAGTTTGACATCTATATTGTCATACCAGTTTGTAGGGCAGAAAGGCCAAATGTTTTAGCAAATTTGTAGTTTACAATGACACAATTAACTTAACATACACATCTTTTTCTTTTTTTTGCAGAGTAAAAAAAGAAGTATTGAAGATAGTACACACACGCATACATACATACATACATACATACTTACACATATATATATATAAAAAACTATAAACACACACGCATACATACATACATACATATATATAAAACTATAAACACACACACATACACACATACACACATACATACATACATACATACATACATACATACATACATAC